TGCAAATTGTCAATCTAGGTGTTGTTTGGAAAAGTTGCAGAAGTTGCAATGTCAAAGTCTGAACATCACTGACTGCATCCTTCTTTCAGTGTAAGTCGGGGCACAGAGAAAACCTGGTGCTGCTCCCCAGTGGCTTTTGAACATTCAGCCAGAATTCAGCTGTTTCTCTGATGTGACAGGTACCAAAGCACCTTATAAGCACCTCTACCTTATGTAGCCATCCTTACAGAACCTTGTAAGTGTTGATAAGATCCTCTCTCAGTCTTCTCCAAACTAAACAGACCCAGGTCTCTCAGCCTTTCCTCATAAAAGACATGCTCCAGTCCCTTGATCATCTTTTTAGCTGTCCTTCTTGAACCAAGGAGCCCAGAACTGGGCACAGTACTCCAGATGTGGCCTCAGCAGGGCAGAGTAGAAGGGGAGGATGACCTCCCTCAACCTACTGGCCATGTTCTTTTTAATGCACCCCAGGAGACCATTGGCCTTGGCCACAAGGACACAATGCTGGCTCATGGTCAACAAGTTGTCCACCAGGACTCCCAGATCTCTCTCTACAGAGCTGCTTTCCAGCAGGTCAGCCCCAACCTGTGCCAGTGGATGGGGTTATTCCTGTCTCAAATTTTGAAGAAACACATTTGTAGTCTTCAGAGTGACTGCTCAAATCAGCAAATGTTTCAAAACCTGCCTATGATTTAGCCAGTCTAACCTACAACAGCTTGAAGTTGTTCTGGATGTTAGCTGCCTGTTACATTTCTTTGAGAAAATACGGAGTGCATAGATTGAGGATTCCTGGTGTTGTCAGTATGATGGAATTTTCAATTTTCTATTAAAAATGAAGCAAACCAAAAACCAGAACACCTTGGACACGGCACATCTAAACTCTTTTGCCACTTAATACAATGACATTTTGTAGGTTGGAGGGAGAGAAGTAACAGAACAGAAGTTAAGGCACAACCCTCAGATATTTTTTTTCATGAAATGAGCCGATACGCAGAAAACTCCGATCCATCATAGTTGTACTGAAACTTAAAAATACATTTATTCATTGTTTATAATATCTACCAGACACAAAGAGGACAAAGAGCAGCAGTTTTGCACTTTGCACTTCGATATCCTCAAGAAGTGTAGAGATCTAGGAGAAAAAAAAAAAACAAATTTAAACTGTGAGATTACAAGTGAGTGTACACTTCCTGGAGAGGAAGAAAAATTTTCAGTATCTTGGAATCCTTGAGTGGATCAAGAAGCTGGTAAAGCATCTGGGAATAGCATGGACACTCCCAAAGAGATGTGCAAGGCTTTTGAGTGATGAGGGGATGCAGCTATCACGTAGCTGCCTATGAACAAGGAGGTAGAGATGTGTATTACCCATATGAGAGAATAAGCAATGCATAGGAAGGATGCAGCAGCCAAACTCAATTTCAGGAGTGTGATAGAGCACCCAGTATAGCTTCTCTATATGAAGGGGTACTGGGTGGAAACTGTTGGCTCCAGTCATGGCACTCTAACCTCTGTGTTTGTATCAGTGGAGTGTGGGATGGTGGGATGGAAGCAGTATCTGCCGGTGTCACGGTGTCATCAGGTTCAAACCCACTAAGATGGTTTTGTAGGAGGAAGGAAAATAGGATTCAGTTTTGAAACTATCTTCTCATGTAATTCTTTTTTGAGGTTTTTGTTGTTGTTGTTGTTGTTGTTTTTGTTAAGTGCTTAGCAGTTTACTTGAAAGAATGCCGAGTATAAGCATTTCCTACTCTTACAAGAATTACAGTACACTGAAGCACTACTTGAAAAGAACATGCCGTACTGAGTTTGCAGCCCTTTGAGGTAGGGACTATGCACTCTTCTCATCCATCTCAAATAGATATGCAGTTTATTTCTTTATGATTGTTTGCAGTGGTTGTAAAATTTGGCCTTTCTATTTGCCTTGCAGTACAATACCACAAAGCAGCTTTGTTCACGACAGTCTACATTTACACACCTTATGTTTGCTCAGTGCTATAAAGCAACAACATGAAAACAAGCTGCTACCACATTGATTACATTCTCCAGGTGATTGAAGTCAATCAGCTTTTGGGCTCAAGCCATACTGTAACTGGTTACGTTTAGAAAGAGCCACCCCAAATGCACAGGTTGTCATCACATCGTGATGGCTGAGGATCCAGTGACATGAGTTAAGACCATAGGAGATGTCAGTGGAAAAATAGAAGAATGCACAGAAGTTTTGCATAAACAGCGCTAAACAGAATAACGAACTCAATGGATCTGTGACAGTTACTCTGTACCACTCCTTTCTGTTTCATAATACAAGAGCATTGACCAACCAAATAAATAATCTCCAAAAATGCAGATTATTAAGCATCATGGTTGAAAGCATGATGATGGGGAATCTCTTTCTCCTGCTCTGTTAACCGGAAATGCTAATACATGACTAATAATGCAATTTGATTTAATATTATTTAAAAACCCCAACATAATATGCTTAGTTTTGGTTTCTTCTACAACTGTTCACTACCACTGTCTGATACAGGAAGATGTTTTAAACGTGTGCGTATATAATCCTCCACCCAGAACCCAATAAACAAAACAGCTTTCCTATAAAGCATTTTTGTTTGAAGTAGCCATTGATTGGAAATTTAAAACCGGAGCTAATTAGAACATTTTTTAATTGGCAGCCTCAAAACTTGTCAATTCTATTTAATAAACTGTTGTTGCCCTCTAGTGTTCAAACACAGCTAGTTAATACCTCTCCAGAGAGATCCAACTAGTCACCTAACCATTCCTCAGCTGTTCTTAATCCAACAAGACAAATGGATGGCAAAAAAAAAAAAAAAAAAAAAAATTCAGTACACCTGTCTAATACCTACTTTTCCTTGCTCAAGCATTAAAAAAAAAAGTATTTTTAGTGTAGGAACTTTTACATTGTTTGTTTCACTCAAAAATTGTGAAAGGCCACTCAGCTCAGCATCCTCACCAAACTAGTCATGGTACCTGTGCACCTCTCTGCTTTACTTCTGCCACTCACTGGGCATGATATACCTTGGGGTTTGGGTTGGAGGGCGGTGTTTTTAATGATATTAGCCAAAGCCAGTGCTTTGAATGAGCCTGAAACATGTCTGCCTGCCTTCTCTTGAACGTATCTCTACTGTACTATACCCTATCAATTAATACCAGCTGTCTCTCCCTCTAACAAACCCGTTATTACAGCAGAAATGCACAGTGAGGAGGCAGGGGTTGTTCTCAGCACCTCTCCTGCAATAAGCCGCCGCGATGGCATCAGCAACACAGAAGGTTCTCAGAAAGCTGTAGTTCTTCTCAGAAAGCTGTAGTTCTTTTGAGAGAAAATTAGAGTCAACCTCAAGGCTGCGCCTGCATTTTTACAGCCCACCACTGGGCTTATCATTTCATTAATTAATTTCCCAGAAATGTTGTTCCCCTTCATCATATTCCTTGACCAGAAACCTTTGAAAATAACAATTGAAAAAAAGAAACTGAGGTTAAACAAAGCGCATTCAAGAGACAAACTGATGAACTTGAAATACTTTTCTTTTGTAATTTTGTTCACTTTTAAGAGGTTATCCAGAATGTTTTTTATTTGAGCATTGTCAGACTTAAGCAATGTGGAAGACCAGCTGGTTTTGTATCTATAAAGCAATTTGCAGCCCCCATATAGTAACAATTCCACTTCTTGACATAAGGAACACTGACTTTTCTTTGATCTTTGAATAATGGAATTTTCAGAGAATTTTCTGCATAAAGTTGTTGTTCGAGCTTTCAGAAAACTTGCCTTGAGGCCATTTTTGGATCATGCCTGCTTCCCACCACACTAAGCTTGACAGATCTAAGAACCTCTTGGACATGAGTCACGTTTTGTATTTTGTAATAGAATTATTTACTTGTATTCATGAGCACCCTTCCTTCTCTGTCTTGATCTTTGTGGTTGATTATGCTGCCTGCCACATGGATACTTTGAAATCTAGTCTTTCATTCTAAAAACAGGTTTAGGCTGGGTGTATGTGAAAGGAAATGTGAATAATACAAATTGGAGGTCGTGTAGCGAGCGGTAGATGCTCACACATACTTTCACTCATCTCTTGTTGCAGAGCGGGGGAAACGTATGGAGCAGCTTATTACCAGTCACATGAAGATGACCCTAGAAGTGAAGAGAGTGTGCTGTGAAAGCCAGAAGGAGCTCTCTGTGTTTGGGAGGGACAGCAAGTCCAGCGCTGTTGCAAGGAGCTCTTTGGAGATCCACCAGCCTTGTGAGGAGAGTCAGAGAACGTCAGAAGCACGAAGATAACGTGGCCTTGTTCAAGTGCTCCTGCTGACCACAGGAAACTTCTTTGAGGTTGGCACCCTCCTACAGCACAGCCACCGTTTCCCTTGAAAACTGTTTTACCTCCCTTTAGATGTTCAGCAAATGGAGACCACACCTTTCCGTGTGTCTTCTGCCAACACTACAGCTGGTGTCTTTGCTAAGCCCCCACACAAGTTTCCGCCCGCCCCGCGATCAGGTGTTGAGTCTCAACTCTTAGGGATGTAAGTGTGTTAGAACACATTCTCTCTTGTGCATGTGCCAGGCCACTTGGTCATGCCATTCGTCATGAAAGAGCTTGATTGCAGCTTGCTTTACTTTGATATGATAAAAATTCTTTCCCTCTGATATATACTACAAAAACCGAATGTGCTACAAGGTGGCGAGCTCTTTGGAAAAGGCAAACTCAGATTTGCAGCACGTGTTTTGAGGATAGCTTGTGATGAAGTAAAAATTAGAAGAGAAAAGCATTTTCGAGATATATATCCATAAACTACATGTAGCTAAGGAAAGTTAAGTCAAGGATGTTATGTGTACTACAATTTTTGCTGTTTGTACCTAAAAGCATTTGCAAGCAAAACTCTACTACCAAGTAGCCCTTTCAGGCTACAGAAAGAGCAAAGAGGATTGCCAGACAATCATGTAACACTACGGCATCTGGGGGCAAACAGCATTGAAAACACTCACACACTGCATAGGTACTCCATTTATTGGGTGTATTTCTATTCCACTAATCTTGTCACAGTACAGATTAAGCTTTTCAAGTGCCTTTTTTTCCTTTAAATACAAGATCTTCTTAGCTTAACTTGGATTTCAGTGTTTATTTTCCAGATTCAGTAATAAATCAAAAATGATAGACATTACAGTTCAGTGTAGAAAAAGCAGTTCTCTTCCCCACCAAAGCCATCTGCTGCTTTCCCTTAGCGGCCAAAAATATGGAATCCATACTTTTCTGAGATTTCAGTATCTACTGTGCCATTTCAGAGTTGTCCTCTCAAAGGTGAGAGATGCTCCTCACAATCTGATTCCCTCTCCCCATCATACATCAGCATACATTCCATTGATCAAGTAATCCAGCCTGGTATAATGCCTTTTCTGAAGAGATTCGTGTATTTTCTTCCCTGTCAGTGCAATAACTAGCAACAAGAATATGACCCCAAAAAGCAAAGCTGCTATAAGGCTGCTTTTTTCTCCCAGCTGAACGACACCTTTCGCTCTCAGAAAACTCTCTGGCAGGTAGCTTTCTGAATCAGATGGGTCATAACCCTGAGGGTCGTTCTGGAAAGATGATGTGGGGGAATCACTAGTAGACAGAGTGAAACCTGAAAAGGAGAGGAGGGTAACGTGGCTGATATTGTTGGAAGAGACAACTGTTGGCTCTGGAGGGGTGGCTGGAGTTCTTAGCCCTGAGGGGGTGGCAGCAGATCTGGAACTCGTGGCTACCCACTTGGTTGCAGAAATAGAAGCAGAAGTTGTGGGACTGGGAAGAGGAGCAGCAGGAACAGCGACGCTGGAGGCAGGGATACGAGGTTTGGCTCTAGCGGTCGCAGCAGGCGGAAAGGCAGCTGTGGTGATGGTGGTGGTGGTGGCAGTAGTAGCTTTAGCACCACCAGGATGCTGAGAGGTTGTATGAGATGCCAGATGGGTGGCAGTTGTAGGCAGAGGAATACGAGCAGTACTGCTGGGTTCAGGAGCGGTAGAGCGAGCGGTGGGGGACAAAGCAGGGGGGGTTCCCATTCCAACAGGAGAAGACGTGTTTGGCGGCAGGTTAATCCCTTTCTGACTTGGGATGGGGTCTAAGCTCTCGGGATGTTTTGCCCCCTGAGATTCAGGCAAACCTGTATGAAATTCAAGGCTGTCTAAATGTTTGACCACGTGGTTAAGGAGCTCGGATGCCTGATGGAAGACAGACTGTTGCAGAGCAGCGGTACGGTTCTGATGGCTAGTCTGACTGCGAGAAGGAAAGTCTCCAGTATCCGAAGACAAAGAATAGCCATTTGAAGAAAAGTCCTCGCTTTTGAAGGATGTGTCCTCTGGAACATGGGTGTCTGGAAAAGAAAGGGAATACCAGTATTTAATTATTAAATCTATTTTTGACTAACAGAGACTTACTCTTATTTGTAGTTCTTAGTAAGAGAGATGTAAGGGGGCTCCCCAAAGTACTAATGAAACTGAGGCATCGAGTTCTTCCTTTCTTTAAAATATGGTGAGTGAAACTGAGGCATCAAGTTCTTCCTTTCTTTAAAATATGGTGAGTGACTTTTAAATTCTGTGTCATAAGACCTGTCAGTCTCAAGACTGGGCCCCCCAGACCCTGACTGACACTTCTTACAGAATTCACCTGTGCAGAGCAAGCATCCCGATACAATTGTTTTATACTCATATTTCATGCAGGTATTTTATTTAGCAGCGCAATGCACAGTAAGTAAGTAGGCCTGTTGCCTTTAAACCATTCTCAGCCTCTGTCAATTGAGAAGTAGGTACTATCAACCTCACTCTCTGTCAGATGTACACATTTCCACCTAGAAAAGGTTATTATATACTCCCCTTTCTTGTAATATCCAAGCAGCCTGTGATTGTTTGATACAATTCAATTCACATAACGAAAATTCTCTTAAGATACGAGTTGGCAATAGTAATCCATTTTAGAGACCATTTTATAGGTGTGCTGATTTGTAGGTGAGACCTGAGCTCCCTACTGCCGTGTCAGAAGAAAGACACTGCTCCAAGAGCCTCTGAGGTATTTGCAGTGAAGGCCTCCCTAAGAAGCAGACTGCACTTGATCACTTCTGCAGAGGCTGATACGGACTGCTGGCAAACCAGGGGGGTCAACGTTATTTAATAGGATTTGGAAGCAGGGCAAAAACATTATGTGAGAGAAATTCCATAAAATGGATAATCCAAGCAGCTACCTGATTCTACACGGGTGTTATAGAGACTCTGGGTGAGCAGAAGCTCTGGGAAGACTGGCTGTTATTGTTCATTATGTATCCATGCATTTATATATATATTTGTGTGTGTGTGTGTATATAATCATTATCGTTCAGTTGCCACACAGAACATTTAAAGGGGAACATCCTCTCAAGCAGTCCTGACTCTCACTCATCTGTTGTTTTTTTTTTCATAGGAGTAAAGAGGTTTGTTAACTGCACTGGAATTGAAATAAATAACAAAAAGTCCATGACATTTTCATTGTCACTTTTTTCTCACGTAGGAATCTAGAGCGACTTCTTTCAGTCTTATTACACATGCAATGAAGCCTACCTGACTCCTCTTTCAATATATATTTCCAAGCCTTAAGACTCTACAAAAAAATGAAATGTAAAAAAAAAAAGCCACCCCAAAACCAAAAACCAAACCAAACCAAAAAACCTGGCAATGCTTTAAACAAGAGCACAGCAAATACTTCATTTGAATCGTAGGCACCGATTTTTATCCGAACCTTCCCGTCAGGCACCAGCTTGTGAGCAAAGTAAGATCCTAAGGGGAGATAATCCAACCACAAGGTGTAACTTAGAGAAAAGCCAGGCTCTGTTTTTAGAGAGTGGCTTTAAATAACAAAATGTTCGGGTATTAGAGAATCAGAGACTGTGTGGCCCAAGACGCCCAAACTCTCAGCTGCTTCTGCAGCTCTACACCCATTTCCACTCCAGCGAGGAAAGGGCCTGTCCCCACCACGGGGTCTGTCCCCAGCTCACGTGTTGCCTGGTCCCGATGCAGCCCCACGGACACCTCCCCCCTGTGCGCTTCAACAAATGGCGGATGGAATCACAGAATGGTTTGGGTTCGATGCAGCCCCACGGACACCTCCCCCCGTGTGCTTCAACAAACGGCGGGTAGAATCAGAGAATGGTTTGGGTTGGAAGGGATCTTCAAGATCATCCAGTTCCAACCCCCTGCCCTGGGCAGGGACACCTCCCACCAGACCAGGTTGCTCCAAGCCCCATCCAGCCTGGCCTTGAACCCCTCCAGGGATGGGGCAGCCACAGCTTCTCTGGGCAACCTGGGCCAGTGTCTCACCACCCTCACAGCAAAGAATTTCTTCCTGAGATCTGATCTGAATCTTTTTTCTTCCAATTTAAAACCGTTTCCCCTTGTCCTTTCATTACACCTCCTGGCAAAGAGTCCCTCCCCAGCTCTTCTCTAGGCCCCCTTCAGGTATTGAAAGGCCGCTATAAGGTCTCCCCGGAGCCTTCTCTTCTCCAGGCTGAACAACCCCAGCTCCCTCAGCCTGTCTCCATAGCAGAGCTGCTCCATCCCTCTGACCATCTCCATGGCCCTCTGCTGCACCTGTTCCAGCCGGTCCATGTCCCTTCTGTGTTGAGGACTCCAGAGCTGGACACAGAGCTCCAGGTGGGGTCTCACGAGTGCAGAGCAGAGGGGCAGAATCACCCCTCATGACCTGCTGGCCACACTTCTCCTGATGCAGCCCAGGATGGGGTTGGCTCTCTGGGCTGCCAGCGCGCACTGCCGGCTCATGGTGAGCTTCTCATCCAGAAGCACTCCCAAGGCCTTCTCCTCAGGGCTGCTCTCCAGCCATTCTCCACCCAACCTGTATTTGTGCCTGGGGTTGCCACGTCCCAGGTGCAGGACCCTGCACTTGGCTCGGTTGAACTTCATGCAATTGGCACGAGCCCACCTCTCGTGGATGTAGCGTGACAGCTCCCAATCTCTTGCAGCAGGCTCTGTCATCTCCAGCCCTGGGCAACAGCTGGACAAGCCTGGAGCGTGGATGTAGCGTGACAGCTCCCAATCTCTAGCAGCATGCTCTGTCATCTCCAGCCCGCTCCCCTGGGCAACAGCTGGACAAGCCTGGAGCGTTCACGCAGCGTCCAAAGGATGGATGAAGGATGAAGGAAGCAGAGGGGGGCTTTGTGACGAGTCCCGTACAGAAGCTAAGTATCACTGCTACTCTGCAGCACTCATTAATTAACCTAACTGCCTGCATTAACCAACTCTACCCCACATTTTCAGCACCAAACATTGATTTTCTAGGACTCTTGGTCTCCCTTTTAGACTACAAGGTCCCAAATGCAATTGCCCAAAGCTGTCACACGTGAGGAACAACTGGGGTAGGGTAGATAGGCTTGTTGGTAAGAAAGAAAAAGGGCACTACACAAGTCAAACTTTAAAAAGAGATTAACCAAAGTGGTCCTGATCTCAAATCCAGTAAGCTGCATTAAAAACCAAACTTCAGGTTGTCACTCTTAAAAAACAAACTAAGCACCTAGTGAGCCTACTTTGCTAAAACCCACCAGTCTTGCCTGGGTATCTTAGTGGGGTGGAGAAAGCATGCGCCATAAAAGTACAGAAACAGCAGAAACCAGAAATGTTAGTTATTTTTTAACAATAGGTCTTTGCAACTGGGACCAGGAAATGTTTTACTTCCCAAGCCATAGATTGTTTCCATTAGTTAGAACCACAAACATAGTTAAGAAAAAACAAAATTTCATTACTAACATAGCATCAGTATTTTAAGATGCTTTATTACCAATAAAGTATCTTTCCCCCTTTTAGTTTGGTTTTCAGTGTAATCACATGCAGGTTCTCAGGCGAAAAAGCCAAGTTTGAAATGTTTGTCAGCACCGACACTGCTCAGGTGCCACCTTGGAAAACTTATGAGGAAAATAAGGTGAATAAGCTAGCATAATTTTTCCATAATTCAATGCTCACAGAAACTAAAAAATGCAAAATGAAAAAGAGATGTTGGATGCAATTGAATTGTTAATTGAGCATTACACTACGTAGTGTACAAAAGCACAAGTACGATTACATTTCTCGTTTCTTTGTTTGAAACCCCTTTATTCTTCTAAGGGAGAAAAAGCTGAAGAAAAGAATAGTTCTAATGATAATTTTATAGGCATGCAATTAATCTGTTGCACGTTGCTATTGCCCAATTCCTGTGCGATTGTGCTTGCACAAAAATATTTGGTAACATCACGCGAATAATCTTTCTACACATCCCACTGTCGCTCCTTGCATAGTTCCTCTCGGAAAAGTTCTCCTTTTCAGCAAAAGTTTAGTCTCTGGAAATATGAAATTTCCTCTCTCTCAAGCAGCCCCAGCGAAACCACCTTGAGAACTCACGGCACGAGGACAGTCTAATTATCAGTTTCTTATCTGAGCCGTTCAAACAGGTCCGGTGCAAGTCAATGCCAGCCAACAGGTAAGACTTGCCATTAAAGTCCCCCAGCAGATGACAGACAGCGAGGCATTTCTGAGGTGCTGCCCACGTGCCAAAAAGCATCCAACTTAGTCCCTTGGCACCTGGGCTTCAGGTTCCCTCACTGAAAGTGGAGAGCTGCCGGGCAGAAAAGGACCTGGGGGTGTTGGTCGCCTGTGGGCTGAACATGAGCCAGCAGTGTGCCCAGGTGGCCAAGAAGGCCACCAGCATCCTGGCCTGTGTCAGGAACAGCGTGGGGAGTAGGGCCTGAGAGGTGATTGTCCCCCTGTACTGGGCACTGGTGAGGCCTCACCTTGAGTACTGTGTCCAGTTTTGGGCCCCCTACCATAAAAAAGACATTGAGGTGCTGGAGCGGGTCCAGAGAAGGGCGACAAAGATGGTGAGGGGTCTGGAGCACAAGTCTTATGAGGAGAGGCTGAGGGAGCTGGGGTTATTCAGCCTGGAGAAGAGGAGGCTGAGGGGAGACCTTCTTGCTCTCTCCAACTCCCTGAAAGGAGGGTGTAGAGAGGTGGGGGTCGGTCTCTTCTCCCAAGTCACAGGCGACAGGACAAGAGGAAATGGCCTCAAGTTACGCCAGGGGAGGTTCAGGCTGGATATTAGGAAACATTTTTTCACTGAAAGGGTTCTCAGCCATTGGGATGGGCTGCCCAGGGAGGTGGTTGAGGCACCATCCCTGGAGGTGTTCAAAAGACGGGTTGATGTAGTGCTGGGAGGTATGGTTTAGTGATGGGGATGCTCCTTGTTTGTTATGTGGGTGTCTATTTTTGTCAGTTAGGTTGACGGTTGGACAAGATGATCTTTAAGGTCCCTTCCAACCTAGAAGATTCTGTGATTCTGTGAAAATAGGGATCACTATTGCCAATTACTCCACAACAGCACAGTGTTGCTCAGTGTTTCTACCTGTGTGTAGATGGTGTTCCTCAGCCCAGCACGGCTCCTTTGCATACGCAGATGGCTACCACGGCAGCGTATTTCCCTGGCTTTTAGTGATACCCTTCGGAATGATGTGCAGAAATTTTTCCTTCATGAATAGATCAAGACGGAAGCAGCTGCTTTTTGTTTTAAGCAAATGAAAATTATGAGGAGTTCCCTTAACGGGAAGGAACTTCATAAGGGTCAGGATGCTCTTCCAACCAGGAAAGATGGGCCCACACAGGAGCTCGCCACACACCTGCCCACCCATCTTGCACGAAGCAAAAGGGCAGCATTTTCAAATTACAGTGCTTGGATGAGAATGTTTTACTAAAAACGCAACCCCCAAACATTTTCTGGTCACTCCTGAAAAGTCCCGGGTGCAGAAGTCCTCTAGTGTGGGGGACCAGTGGCTCTCACTATTATTTACCTCTAGTTATCTTGTAGCTCACGTATCCTGTCGCAGGTTTCATTGGACAAGCCTCTGTGCTAGGGCAGTAAAACAGGTAGCAGTTGGGATGTGTGCTTGTCCTTTGAGCATCAAAAATCATCAGATTACACTTCTTGTCTCCTGCAAAACATGAGATATATATATATATATATTGCAGCAATAGGAACTTTTATACTTACGATAATAAGCTCTGATCTGTTAAAATAGTTTTTGCCTCGTGTGAGTAAGAGGAAAAGTACTAACATACAACATTCCTACAGGAAAAACAACCCAGGACTGCAAAAGAATGGCCCAGGGCCAATATACAAAAGGTCACACCTTCCTCTTCCCGCACAGATGAACTTGGGGAAATAACGAGTCTAATCCCTCACCCTCCCCTCCCCCATAGCGCTCTGGCACCACGTTATAGAAGAATTTCTCGCTTACAAATTGCTGATAAATCTGAAAACCTCCTCGATGCACTCCCGGGGAAGGAAATACTTACACTCTTTTCCCATCACATCCCAGGAATCTCTTGGATTGTTGCTGCTTGGGGGGGTTACTTCACCACTCTCATTTCTACTGGCTGCTGTACCTCCTACCGCTCCGAGAGCTGGATGCAGACCCCCCCACCTCAGAGAAGGGGAAGCCCTCTCATTTTTGGCCAAACCTCTGCAAAAGGTCGGTTCCTTTGTAGCGCATCCACTAAATACAGCTTCAGCCTCTGAAGGGTTGGGGGGGGGGGGGTATGGTTTAAAACTACCACTGTTCCTTTACTGCAACTACTTTCCTGAGCGCTCCGGGGCCCCGCGTTAAGATCTACCGTGGCATCTGGCGGAACAGAGCGGCAGCCGCAAGCGTGAATAAAAGGATAAATTAAGGTTTCCGTGCCGAGGACAGAGAATACCCTTGTCCCGAACAACTCGAGGAGCCATTCCCCCCGCGCCGGCTCGGGCGGTGAGGGAGCAGGATGGGCGAGAGGAGCGGGTTTACCTGGCAGCTTGTCCCCCGAGCAGCAGGCGCCAAGGCAGGCTTCGGGGCTCAGGGCGTAGAGCGGCTCGGCGCCCCGGATGCCTTTGGGCAGAGATAAGTTTATATCGATGATGGCGTCTGCTGTTCTCTCCGCCGAGCACTCTTGGCTCGGGGATGCTCTGGCCACCCAACAGGCCACCACCAGCCAGCAGAGCGGCCACCGGCGGGCGGCGGGAGGCATGGTGTCCCTCGCCTCGGGGTCCCGGCAGGGCTGGCACGTCGCCGGCTTCGGGGCGTCCCCTTAGCACGGACGTACCGGACCCTCCTCGCCCCACAACCCGGTTTCGCAGCCAGTTCTCCAGAAGCCGCCGTTGAGACGCCTCCTGTGGGGCTGGGAGGCGTTTTTTGGGGACAACTCCGGGCCCACGTCCCCTCCTCTGCCAACCGGGCCGGGCCCCGCTCCGCGGCTCAAGGACGGGAAGGCAGCGGCGGGGAACGGGGGGAGCCCCGCTCCGCCGGCACCTCCGGGAGGAGGAGGGACCGGGGGAGGCGGGTCCGGGCCGCCCTCTTTCCTTCCCTCCTTCCCTCCCTCCGGCCCGCCCGGAGCCGCAGCGGTGGTGGCCCCGCTCCTCCAGCCGCTCGCCAGCCCCGGGCGCTGCTCAGAGAATCACAGAATGGTTTGGGTTGGAAGGGACCTCAAAGATCATCGAGGTCCAACCCCCCTGCCCTGGGCAGGGACACCTCCCACCAGACCAGGTTGCTCCAAGCCCCATCCAGCCTGGCCTTGAACCCCTCCAGGGATGGGGCAGCCACAGCTTCTCTGGGCAACCTGTTCCAGTGTCTCACCACCCTCAGAGTAAAGAATTTCTTCCTGAGATCTAATCTGAATCTTTTTTCTTCCAATTTAAAACCCTTTCCCCTTGTCCTATCATTACACTTCCTGGCAAAGAGTCCTTCTCCAGCTCTTCTATAGGCCCCCTTCAGGCATTGAAAGGCCGCTATAAGGTCTCCCCGGAGCCTTCTCTTCTCCAGGCTGAACAATCCCAGCTCCCTCAGCCTGTCTCCATAGCAGAGGTGCTCCATCCCTCTGATCATCTCCGTGGCCCTCCCCTGCACCTGTTCCAGCTGGTCCATGTCCTTTCTGTGCTGAGGACTCCAGAGCTGGACACAGAGCTCCAGGTGGGGTCTCACGAGTGCAGAGCAGAGGGGTACAATCCCCTCCCTGGCCCTGCTGGCCACCCTTCTCCTGATGCAGCCCAGGATGGGGTTGGCTCTCTGGGCTGCCAGCGCGCACTGCCGGCTCATGGTGAGCTTCTCATCCACCAACACCCCCAAGGCCTTCTCCTCAGGGCTGCTCTCCAGCCAATCTCCACCCAACCTGGATTTGTGCCTGGGGTTGCCACGTCCCAGGTGCAGGACCCTGCACTTGGCTTGGTTGAACTTCATGCGAGCCTGAGCGCAAAGGAAAAGCCACCCGGTGAAACCCTTCAGGGTGGTGGTGGGTCAGGCTGGTGGGGTTCGGCTCAGCCTTCTCCAACTGTAGAGGCTGTGATGACAAGTGGTTGACCTGCACATCCTGGTCCGAATGGACATGTGCATCTTTTGATGTCTGCAGGAGCCTCTCCCAGCTCCCTGAATAATCCTGGTCGTCAAATCCTGGCAAAGCACAGGGTGTGTGCAGAACGGGAGTTGTATGGACAAGCCTGTCTGCTCCCTCAACGGCCTTAGCTTTTCCTTGGAAATTTTTCATTTCCTCTTTTTATTTTTTTTTTATTATTATTATTTTGGGGGCAGTTTAGGAGTAAAATCAGTCCAGAGAGTAAGGAGCGCAAGGAATAAAAAGTCTGTAAGATATATTCCTTCTTTTTCAGGTCTCTCATCCTTAGAGAGAAGGGTGAGAATACTATGAACATTTAGAATAATACAGTTGTCTGTAAATAAAAGACATTTTCTTTTTAGGGCTGGTTCTGAAAGACCTAGGGGCTGATTATTTTACACATTGTTAACAGGGTAGAATGGTGAAAATAGGGGGTCTGGTGGCATCTCTGGCAGACATCTGCTGTCTACTTTTAAAGAAAGCAACTTAAACCTGTTCAATATATGCATCAATGACCTGGATGAGGGGATGGAGTGTACCCTCAGCAAGTTCGCTGAGGATACAAAACTAGGAGGGGTGGCTGACACCCCAGAAGGCAGTGCCACCATCCAGCGTGACCTGAACAGGCTGGAGAGTTGGGCAGAGAGGAACCTGATATACTTCAAGAAAGGCAAGTGCAGGGTGCTGCACCTGGGGAGGAATAACCCCCTGCACCAGGACAGGTTGGGGCTGACCTACTGGAGAGCAGCTCTGAAGAGAAAGACCTAGGAGTCCTGGTGGACAACAGGATGCCCATGAGCCAGCAATGGGCCCTTGTGGCCAAGAAGGCCAAGGGCATCCTGGGGGGCATCAGGAAGAGTGTGACCAGCAGGTGGAGGGAGATCATCCTGCCCCTCTGCTCTGCCCTGGGGAGGCCCCATCTGGAGCACTGGGTCCAGTTCTGGGCTCTCCAGTTCAAGAAGGACAGGGAACTGCTGGAGAGGGTACAGCAGAGGCTACAAAGATGACTGGGGGCCTGGAGCATCTCTCTTACGAGGAGAAGCTGAGGGACTTGGGTCTTTTTAGTGTGGAGAAGAGAAGGCTGAGGGGGATCTGACCAACACCTTTAAATAAAGGGAGAGAGTCAGGAGGACGGGGCTGGTCTTCTTTCAGTGGTGCCCAGGGACAGGACAAGAGGAAATGGGCACAAACTTGAATATAAGAATTTCCACCTAAACACAAGGAGGAACTTCTTTCCTGTGAGGGTGGCAGAGCCCTGGCAGAGGCTGCCCAGGGAGGTGGTGGAGTCTCCTTCTCTGGAGACATTCAAACCCCACCTGGACACGTTCCTGTGGGACCTGCTCTGGGTGGACCTGCTCTGGCAGGGGGTTGGACTGGATGATCTCCAGAGGTCCCTTCCAACCCCATGTGATTCTGTGATTCTAAACTGAGATGGGATTTCTTGCTTCTTTGAGATCCGATGGGTACACATCCTGCTTCGTGCTGCCCTGCAGCCTGCCCGGCGGGCGCTGTGCCCGACGCCGTGGACCCAGGCCAAGGGACGGGTGGCTGACTTGTTGTTCTTCACGCCCAGCCCGGCCCCGTCTCCTTTGTTAACACAGCCGGGTGTCGGCTTTATTTGGAATGTATGTGTGGGAAGAGATCGAGCCTATCACCTCATTGCACATCCAATGGCCACTTTGGGGCAATCCCTAATGTTCCCTTGTGATTCTAGCATTCTTGGTGCTTTTTTTTTTTTTTTTTCCTGAAATTTTCAGCTGTGTTGCTTTCAGAAATTACTTATTTCTAGTTTTTTCAAAATGTAGAGGAATGCTTTTGGTAGCCAGCTTTCCCTCTTTTGGTAAACTGGTAACATTGTTTTCACTGTTAAAAGAAAAAGCTGTAAAAGAATGTAAACATGGGTTATAAACAATGGTTATGTAAACGTAAAGTGTCACCCATTACCCGTGTCACACAGTGAATTCACTATGGGACTGGATACGAAAAGCAAGCACAAACATTGCCCGTGCTGTGCCGTTAGGCAGGGTCCCAGCTGCCCCCCGCCCCTGTTTGCATAGTGCTGCTGGAAGAAGCCAAGCTGGAAGAAGCTAAAAAAATAAATGCTAAAGGTCTGGCTGGGGTGGTCATAACTGGAGGGTGAGGAAAATGGTTCTTTACTAGGACAGACAAAAAGCAAGAATTAGAGCATGCCCTGAAGTGCCAAAGTGCCACGTCTACACATTTCTTAAATACCTCCAGGTGTCGGTGTGTGTTGGTTTTCTTTTCTTTTTTCTTTTTTTTTTGGTGGTTGGACTCAATGGTCTAAAACGTCCCTTCCAACCATAAATATTCTGTGATTCTGTGACTGTTGGGATAGTGTTAAGTGTTAGGGGTGTTAGGATACTGGAAGGATAGTGAATATGGAGACCACTGTGGTGAGACCAGCAGAGGTGATCATGGGAACATGAGGAGGACAGGGTAGAAGAGACACTTTGGGATAACACCATCGCCCTGGTCCAGACACCATTGCTTCTTTTCCACCCTTCCTATCTTTTCCTTGCAGGGTGGGCACCAAACCTCCCTGGAGAGAGCAGATGCAACTCTGTCAGGCTGCTGAGGTACAGGGAAGCCAAGGTCCACCAAAAGCCATGCAGAAACCACTGCTGCTGGCTCGGAGAGAGCCAGCCTTGCCCAGCAGCTGCTGTGCTCCCCTCCCCACTGCGATGGGAAGGAGGGGAAGATGGCTGGACCCCATCAGCCCTACCTCATGGTGCTAAGTCACTAAAGATGTTTTTCTGCCTCTGCAGAGCACCTCTCTGCTTGGGAGCTGGTGCCTACAGGGTGAAACACCCGGGCGCAGAGAAGAGGAACTGCAAATATATCTATGTGGGTATTCACACTCGCGTACACTGTATGTACAGTTAACCCCCTCACCTCCAAACTAGTCATTGTAAGGCAGTCTCAGGGAGTCCACGAGTGTGGCAGTCACATTTTGTAATGCTTGGTAGCAACAGCAAGGCAAACGGGACTGTGCCCATCTGATGGGGACTGCACACCACCGTGTCACGATGCCAGGATGGGCAGGTGTTATGGTTTGAGAGAACCCATAACGATCTAGTGTCGTTTAGACAATCATTCTATCACCCAATGACCCCTCCCCAGCCAGAAAGGGGAGTCGGGGAACACAGAGAAACACAAGGGCTGAAATATAAATAGATTTAATAGACTAAGGCTAAATAATTAACAATAATACTAAAGAGCCAGTATGAATCCCAACACTGATCTAAGATATCCAAGAATTATCCCGATAAAAAAGTCTTTTGCAGGATTTGGGGGGAGGTTGTGGTGCCACCTTGTTCTCAGGGTGACAGAGGGAAATGCTACCTTTGGTGGGACAGGAAACTAACGTCACAAGGACGTGTGGGGACAGCGTTGATGAGACTCTTTAAGGTACACAGGGTCCAGCTCTTGATGAAAATCTCCTCACTGTGGAAGGGCTGAGGAGGGTTCATGGTGAGGAGCACCCACCCAGCTTGCTACCAGTCCTTCCACTGTGCTGAGCTTTCCTTTGCCTTCAAACTCAGACTTCGCTTACCTTCCAAATTATATCCAGAAACAAAAAGAATCAGGGATCTTGGGGATATTAACACCAACGTTACTAATGATTGGATGGGAGCAGGGTTTGGCTGCTAGCGTTCTTATCAACGAAGATAGTGGAAAATATTACTTCCCATTCCATCTCTCAGTATAAGAAACACCTCCTTTGTCTGTCTGCTCGATGGATTTATGTCAGTCTAGGCAGCAGGGACATTGTTGGTCTGCTTTTTTGCAACTGTCACGCTCTCCAGGAGGCCCGGCTCATTTCTGGGCTCAGTGGGGCACATTCTGCTCCCTCAGTTTGTGGGTCAGCAGCGCTGGTGAAACTGCACCTCAGTCTCTGTCTGTCAAAGGGA